TCAATAATCCTCATATTACTACTCACAGAACTTACTACTGCTATTCCCATTTATGCCAATTGTGAAGGATCATCTACTGTACAGCCCGAACATATCAAAACTATTCATGCTCCTATTTACTGTGCTGCAGCTTCCATGCAAAGTTGTAATAAAATTTCCTAAACAAGTCACAAAAGGAAAAATGGGCCTTTTTTGTAAGCAATCAGAAAAACCTGTAGGGAGGGGGGACAACAAATAACCTGCAATCTAAATCACATTCCTAAGAGAGGCCAATAAATTTTAGGGTGTACTAGATAGCATTTTAGACCTACAGCTACAATAGAAAGAATGAATTTTCAGCTACAAGTTGTCCTCTTGTTAAAGAAATCAGATAGTGTACACAAGACTCAATCAGGAAAGGAAGGTAGCCTCTTCCTCCTTTATACAAACTCTTAACTATTACTGTAGAGCTGTTAAAGAAAATACAATTTGAATGCTGTCCATTTCTCAAACTGCAAGCTACAGACCAGGTAGATACACTACAAACAGAGGTTGCTTAATCTTACTATTGCAGCCTGGGAGGTTGCAGCATGCTGAGCTGTTCTTATATCTAACATGGCTGAGGCAGTGAGAGGAGTGCCAGTTATGTCTAACATGGCTGTAGCATCATGCTGGGAAGCAGCTAAATCTAACATGGCAGAAGAGGTCATTAGACTGGCCACATTCTCTGACCCAACATCACTAGTCCTCTGAGTCACCTTGACAGCCTGGGCCAGAGGGTCTTCACTGACAATGCTGACAGTCTGGTTGGGGCTCTGCTCGTCATCATCCCCCTCATGCATCTCCATGGCCTCTTGGTGGATGATAACCTCTTCCTGCATGGGGATGAAGTGGGTCACATTGTTGTCATCATCCTCTTGCTGTTGAAGATCCACATCCTGGTCCTCTGAGTCACTTTCACCTGTGCCTGTTTCCAGCTTGATCTGAACCCTCTTGAGTGGCTGAACATCATCCTGTTGTGACATACTGCTTCGGTGGCTGCTGTCCAGGTCCACATCCTCACACACCGCCATCAGCTCATAAGTCTGGGCATTTCTTTTTCTTTGTCCTACAAGATGAATATTGGTAATGCCATAAGCAACTTGTTCCAGTTCTAATTCAAAATCACTAAAACACATTCCCTAGGCAAATTATGGGATGTTATCATAGCATAGCAACACTGTGATAAAATATATATCTATATATATAATATAAGACCAGAAATTTTGAAGTACATCTATATTCCCCCCAAATTATACAAATAAAGCAAAAAATGAGAGGCTCTCCCACCTGCATGATCCAATCTGTGGTCTTCCTCATCCTCATCAAGGTCATCCTCATCCTCATCCTCCAAATCTGGGTCATAGAAAGCGAGGTCCTGCTTTGTGGGGCCAGTGGCTGCCATGTGGTGTTCCTGGTCTAGGCCTGCCCTTGGATCATCCATCCATGAGTCAGACAGTCCCACTTGACTTAGGCCTGAATAGATGTGGCTGCTTAGTTGCTAAGGTATTTTAGCATCTTTTGAACTTATGAATACAGTTACAAAGTTTGAGTGCTATTATATATTTGGATTACTTGAATCTAAAGCTTGGACAAATCAACTATTCATCACTGAAAGCTGAAATAAAGCTTAATTTGATGGGAAAGGTTTGCACTTCACTTGTTTTTTGTTTTTTTTCTTAATCCGTGGTGTTACAATGCAAAAAACATTGAAATTGGAATAAACCATTGGTAAACATTTACCTAATGTCTATGGACAAAATTTTTGGTATCATAAGAGTAATTTCCCCCCCCCCTATGTACTGAACCTAAATTCAGCATTTTATGACAAATGTTAGGCATACTACAAGTGTTAACACATGTAACTTCAAGTTATGACAATGTTATCATAAAAATCATAAGGGTAATTTTTTTTTCATGATCCTTTCAAGCCTAGTCAGAACCAAGATCAACCTTTGTAATATAAAGCTTGCACTCCCACACACATGCCTACATGACCCAATATGTGTGAAATGTTGCACGTGAAAAATAATAATATCTTCAAATGTTTCTGCAGTATATTTCTTGAAATTTCAAAAGCTTTGCAGTTCAAGTTCAGATATTTATTACAGAGATTTCAAACAAATTTAAGTTTAATTTAATTTAATTTGAAACAGTTGCTCAGCAAATCTAAAAATGTCTCGCAACTGTATTGCAACAGTTGTAGGACATGATTCCATACCCACTTCCAGACCAAGATATTTTGTTGAGCTACAGTCCCAAACAAAATATTTGAAGAGTCACTCAGCAGTTGAGTAACAATCTAAATTTGTTTTGTAACTGTTGCTGAAGAATTCCAAGAAATGTATTTCTGTTTCCCACTGGATATGGGAAAAAATGACAAAATTCTGGGCAACATGACTCATCATCATCTAGTCACTGGTCAGTTGTCTGCTGGCTTGTGCTGGGTTGTGAAGTTCCTTTAATTAGTTTGATATCAAAT